ACCAAGTATGATTTTTGTCTTTCTTCTAAGGTCAAGATAAGTGTTGATTGTAGTATCTTGACTTAATGTAGGTGTGTGACGAGCCGAGCTCGCTGCCTGCACTTGTCCTTGTGATATCCTTTGTTATTTTCCAGGTGGGTTTTATTTGAAATTGCTATTCAATAAATTGTTGCCTTACGCATGGTATGATTAATGTATGTATGTGAACTATGTAGCCTTCTATGTGAGTTGTGTCGGTCGTCGAACGGTTATCCCCGTAACTGTAAAGCGAAACATGTGGGGTTTACTCCTACTGCTGGCATCGATAGAAGCCCGAGGGGCATTCGGTGTAGAAGCCCGAGGGGCATTAGACGTAAAAGCCCGAGGGGCATTCAATGTAAGGCCACATTGAGGGGCATTCGTTATTGTTGTAAATATTTTTACCGGAGTAGAATCGAAATATTCGACACCGGGTCGTCTCACAAGGAAGGTTAGCCGGATTATTTGTACGGATATTCAATCACAAGAAAAGAGAAAAGAATTTCCTAAACACTCTAATTCAAATTGGGGGTTTTTTATTATCAACTACGAAGAATAAGAACGAAGATAGCTAATTCAAATTCGCAATTCAAAGTTTAAATTCAAATGGAATAGACGGACTAGGGTGTCGGGGATAATCGTTTCCGGTTCTCAATACATTAAACGGGCAATTAACTACTCAGCTAACGAACAAGCAATAACCAAATCATCTAGAGATTCATTCTCAATATCTCACGAAACAAGAGAATAAACATAAATGAACAATTATCGAATTCATTAACACATAGACAATACGCTTTCGAACGTGTCTATTCTAAACAAGTTGAGGTCGATCGATTTCTCCCCTTTCGGTTCTAAAATCGATTAAGTAGATTAAATGATGATCAGACATTCAACCCTAGGTTTAGCCTAACTCTTCTAGAATGAGCAATCAACATTCACATAAACGAAATTGAACCGGAACAATTATCCCCTAACCCTAGTTATCGAATTTAGCTACTCATCATAAACTCAACAAACATATTCTCATCAAAGAAAGTCATAACATTCATTAATGAAAATAAAAAGAGAGCTTACGATTAATACGAAATTCAAAGTCGAGAGAACAACGTGAAATCCAAATCCTAGAGATAAAAGGGAGTTTTTTTATGCTCCACAGTTCAATCCAAGATCAGTAAAGAGAAAGATGTGTTCTGAGGTGAAAAGCTCTGAAAAACGAAGTCAGAATGAATCCATAATTGCCCTAAGCTCGATCCTTTACTTCCCAATTCGAAAATCCAAGAAATTCGCGGCTGTTACGAAAATAGGGGTTAGCGGCGCTATGGGGATAGCGCCGCTATGGTTGGAAATCTTGAGCTGTAGCCCATCGCTATGCTACGAACCGTCGCTAGTAAAGTTGGGCTTAGCGGCGCTATGGCCATACCGCTGCTATGGTCTGGCTGCTCTAATAAAAATCTATGTATCGGGCCAGGTGCTCTCAGCTAGCGTCCCTCGGGTCTATCTCGAGCTTGAAACTTAATCCACGAATGCTCCAGTCGCACAAACCGACGCAGAACACCTGGGAACCTGAAAACACCACCATCAAAAACACACAAAAGCAAGAGAAAATAGAAGAAATAACAACGAAAATGCTAAACACAACGAAAAATACTAAAAATCGAGAATGACTAAAAAGGACCGGAAAATCCTAACAAAAGACCTAAAACGGGGGAAAACAACACGCAAAATAGCAACGAAAATAGCAACAAAAACGGGACAAACAACTCCCCCACACTAAGACCTTTGTTCGTCCCGAACAAAAAAAAAGAAAATAAAACAAATAAATGAACAAGGACAATGGTTCAAGCAAGACTAATCTCAGACCAAACAATCAAATGAGAAGAATTCCAATGATCACCAGCGCATACCTCAACTAGTAACTTGGTTATTTCGCAAGACAAAGACTCTCAAGAGCGAAAATATATCATATGCCTCACTCGGTTCTTTTGAAAATATAAGATAGGTACGCTCAAGTTGGTCGTCAATCAAATCAATCATAATTTGCCTATTGTCTAACTTTTACTCTAAAACAATCAAGTTCGAGAAACAATGAATCAAGAGGACTTTTAGGGATGTAATGTAGGCTCTTTGGATCGGGTAGGATACATATAGGTTAAGTGGCTCAGATAAAAACACATTCAACTCAATTCCATCACCAAACCGTAGTCATGAACTCTTCCAGTTGTCGAACACCAACCGGTTCCTCCCTACTACTCCAAAACCAACACACTTTCCAAACATTTTTTTTTTTTTTTACGAGAACCATTTGGACATCTTGTCTAGGTTTAACCTTCGAGTTTTCTGCTCGAGTCTCCTAGACCGGTTTCCCGTACTCATGGCTCGTATCCTCTAAATTAGTGGACCGAGCGCTAGGAGTATAATCCATTTGGCTCCCTTTTTTTTGTAATAGCAAATCCAATGAACATATTCACAGTTCAATCAACCAACACCTCCAACTCTCAACCCACAACTCAATATCATCATTATGAGGTTAACAATAAAATCATATAAGGCTCAAAGGGGGTGACTAGTGACTGTTATTCATAGAAAAGAGGAGGAAAAGAAAATACAAGGAACGCCTCAATCATTTTCACGACCCTTCCTATCACGAATTTCAACATCAAACTCTTGCAACAATAAAATCCACCGAATAAGCCTAGGTTTCGACTGAGTTTTACTCAAACGATACCTAAGAGCTGCATGATCAGAATGTACAATCACTTTAGATCCCAAGATGTAGGACCTAAATTTTTCAAGAGAAAACACAACAGCTAATAGTTCTTTTTCACTGGTCGTATAATTCAATTGGGCACCATTTAGGGTCAAGCTAGCATAATAAATTACACGAAGCAATTTATCAACTCGTTGGCCCAAAACGGCTCCCACAGTAAGGTTCGATGCATCACACATAATCTCAAATGGCAAAGACCAATCAGGGGCAATCACAACGGGAGCAGTCACAAGCTTATTTTTCAATATACCAAAAGCATCTAAACATGCATCATCAAACACGAACGACACATCATTGGCAAGCAAGTGACACAAAGGCTGGCTGATTTTCGAAAAATCCTTAATAAACCGCCTATAAAAGCCAGCATGACCTAAAAAACTCCTAACACCTTTCACATTCACAGGGGGAGGAAGCTTTTCAATCACATCAATTTTCGCTTTGTCAACTTCAATCCCCCGATTAGACACCACATGACCTAAAACTACTCCACTCGTCACCATAAAGTGACTTTTCTCCCAACTCAATGTCAGATTGGACTCAATACACCTCTCAAGCACACGATATAAATTATGGAGACAATCAGAAAATGAAGTACCAAATATAGAGAAGTCATCCATAAATACCTGTAAGCAATCCTCGAGCATGTCGGAGAAAATGGAGAACATGCACCGTTGGAAGGTCTCGGGTGCATTGCATAGGCCGAAAGGCATCCGTCTGAAAGCAAACGTGCCGAATGGGCACGTGAAGGTTGTCTTGGGCTGGTCCTCCGGAGCTATGGCCACTTGGTAGTAGCCCGAGAGTCCGTCGAGGAAGCAATAAAACTGGTGGCCCGAGAGACGATCGAGAATTTGATCAATGAACGGCAACGGAAAGTGGTCCTTCTTGGTCACGGCATTGAGTCGCCGGTAGTCAATACACATCCTCCACCCGGTAGTGATGCGGGTGTGAACCATCTCCTTCTTCTCAGTTTCAATTACCGTGATGCCCCCCTTCTTGGGCACCACATGAATGGGGCTCACCCACTCGCTTTCGGCCACTGGATAGATAAGCCCCTCGGAATAGAGCTTCAGCACTTCCTTCTTTACCACTTCCATAATATTCGGGTTGAGCCTCTGTTGGCTGTCCCGAAAAGGCTTAGCACCCTCCTCCAGAATGATCTGGTGCATGCACGTGGAAGGGCTGATGCCCTTAATGTCACCTAGGCTCCAGCCAATGGCCTCTTGAATCTTCTTAAGCACTTTGATCAGCTCCTTCTCTTCATCCTGATTAAGCTCGGCAAAGATGATAACCGGCTTTTGCTTCTCATCATCAAGGAAGACGTACTTGAGGTGACGAGGTAACTCTTTCAACTGTAGCGTTGGTGGGGCTTTCGATCTCGACTCTGCGACCTCCATCAGCTCAATAAACGGTCCTTCTTCCTCTTCGAGATCGGGCATCAACCTCTCCTCCAAGTCTCGTATGGTCCTCTCTTCGATGAGCGGGTCACTGACATCAATGAACGCGCACTCCTCCACATAGTTCGCCGAAGGGCCAGATGTGGCCTCTCGGACAGAGATTGACACGGACTCGCCCAGCACCGTCATGTTCAAGGTCTCATTTTTCACGTCAATGAGCATATTGGTGGTGGCCATGAATGGTCGGCCCAGAAGAATGGTATGGTTTCCCGTTCTCATGCACGTCCCCCACATCGAGCACCACAAAGTCCACCGGAACTATGAGTCTCCCTACTCGAACAAGGACATCTTCCACTACCCCCTTGGGGTATCTAATCGAACGGTCTGCGAGCTGTAGGCACATGCAAGTGGGTCTCAAATCTCCTAGACTGAACCGCTGGAAGATAGAGAATGGCATGAGGTTGATTCCCGCTCCGAGGTCTAGCATACCCGAAGCTTCCTTCCCATTCCCGAGGGCTATTTTAATCACGAAGCCCCCAGGATCTCGTTCCTTCTTAGGCAAGTCATGCTGCATAGCACTTGCCGCCTCATAAACCACTACTTTCTCCCCATCGCCAAACTTCCTCTTCTTTGTAACCAAGTCCTTCAAAAACTTCACATACGAGGGCATATTCTTGATCACGTCTAGGAGAGGCAAGTTTACATTGACCTTTGAGAGCATGTTGTAGAGATCTCGGAATTGTTGTTCTTGCTTCTCATCTCAGAGTCTACTCGAAAATGGGATGCGTGGCTTGTAAGGGTTTGGAGACTTGTGCAACATTGGGCCGTCCATCGGCTTCTCTAAATCGGCTTTCGTGTTCTTCGCACTCTCCCCTGCTTTTTTAGGCTGGTCGGTTGGCTTTGGGTCATCGTGCTCGGGCATTTTCACCTTGTTGTCAACTTTTTTCCCGCTTCTCAACACTGTTATTGCTTTGGCTTGCTCAGGCTGGCTTGAAAGTTTTCCTTTGTCGGACTCGGCCTTCATATTCCCGACTCTCGTGGCAAGTTGGCCCACTTGCGTCTCAAGACGCTTAATGGACGAGTCTTGGTTGGTGATAAACTGAAGGATCTTGTCCAGCTTGTCATCTTGGTTTGACGAGCTTAAACCGGACCCTTGGGCTGGCTGTTGTGGTTGCTGTTGTTGTTGGTAGTTCGGACGAGGAATGAAATTGGGACGAGGTTGTTGTTGCGTGAAGTTTGGACGGGGTTGCTGTTGGTTGAAGTTTGGGCGAGGTGGCTGGAGGGTGTTGCTGTTGTTGGACCACGAGAAGTGTGGGTGATTTCTCCACCCGGGATTGTAAGTGTTAGAGAAGGGGTCGTTGGGCTGCCAGTTCTGATATCCTTGAAGAGCATTGACGTCTGCATATTGCTCTCCAAGGTCCTGATCGAATGCCGATGGACACACCTCCGACCTGTGCCCTTAAGCTCCACAAGCTCCGCATGTATCCACTGCCATGGTTTGTACTGGCTGCATTGTCCGAGCATTCATTAGCTGCATTTGCTCCGTAAGCTCAGCTATCTGATGGGCCATCATGTCCTGCCTTGGAGATGCCTCGTTCACCACCGCTCTCTTCCCTCGACTGCTCTTTTAAGACGAGCTAGAACTCAACGCCTCAAAGATATCCATCATCTCCTCGGCCGTTCTCGCCCCGATGTCCCCACCAGCTGCATTGTCCACCATGTACTGAAGGTTCTGGCGGAGAGAATCATAAAAATCGTTCATCAAAAGGGTCGGAGGAAGATTGTGATGTGGGCACTGTCTCTGTAGGTCCTTGAAGCGTTCCCACGCTTAGTGAAGTGGCTCGTGCGGTTGTTGGGCAAAAGAGACAATTTGTGACCGCAGTTCTTGAGTCTTCTGATGGGAGTAGTACCTCCCGATGAACTTCGTGTACACTTGCTCCCAAGTGGTAAGAGAGTCTGGAGCAAGTGTCATCAGCCACGCCTTAGCCCGATCCTTGAGTGTTTCTAGAAAACACCTCATCTTCAACTGGTCCTCATTTAGTTCATGGAGTGGAAATGTTTGGTGGACATTATAGAATTCACGCATGAAATGAAGTGGATCTTCATTGGGAAGACCATGGAAGGATGGCAGTTGGTTGTAGTGGATGGTTTTGAGCTCGTAGTTCCGAGTTGCTGTCCCCAGTCGGATGTACGAAGTCACTGGCCCAATCACCGGTTGAGCCAAATCGCGAATAAGAGACTTAGGAGGATTGCTAACCTTCTCATCTTGCTCATTCTGTGCCATGTCGGTTTGGTTTTCTGATGTAGATGATACTGGTGCAAGACTGGCTAGTAAGTCTCGTAGGTCCTGTTGGATGGATTCGTCGTTTGGGATGATTACACGACCACTCCTGGTACGCATTAACAGAAACAACAAAAATGTCACGGGTACCAGATAGACAACAAAAAGAACGAAGAGAAATTAAAACAAAGAAAGCACTAGAACTAGACAAAGAAAACAAAACAAAAGAATCACAAAAACAAGAAATCACAGAAAATAGAAACACTGAAAATAAATGAATAGGCGCACAAAATAAGTCCTAAGCCCTCCCCGGCAACGGCGCCAATTTGTTGTAAATATTTTTACCGGAGTAGAATCGAAAGATTCGACACCGGGTCGTCTCACAAGGAAGGTTAGCCGGATTATTTGTACGGATATTCAATCACAAGAAAAGAGAAAAGAATTTTCTAAACACTCTAATTCAAATTGGGGGTTTTTGATTATCAACTACGAATAATAAGAACGAAGCTAGCTATTTAAATTCGCAATTCAAAGTTTAAATTCAAATGGAATAGACGGACTAGGGTGTTGGGAATAATCATTTCCGATTCTCAATACATTAAACGGGCAATTAACTACTCAGCTAACGAACAAGCAATAACCAAATCATCTATAGATTCATTCTCAATATCTCACGAAACAAGAGAATAAACATAAATGAACAATTATCGAATTCAGTAACACATAGACAATACGCTTCCGAACATGTCTATTCTAAACAAGCCGAGGTCGATCGATTTCTCCCCTTTCGGTTCTAAAATCGATTAAGTAGATTAAATGATGATCAAACATTCAACCCTAGGTTTAGCCTAACTCGTCTAGAATGAGCAATCAACATTCACATAAACGAAATTGAACCGGAACAATTATCCCCTAACCGTAGTTATCGAATTTAGCTACTCATCATAAACTCAACAAACATATTCTCATCAAAGAAAGCCATAACATTCATTAATGAAAATAAAAAGAGAGCTTACGAAGAATACGAAATTCAAAGTCGAGAGAACAACGTGAAATCCAAATCCTAGAGATAAAAGGGAGTTTTTTATGCTCCACAATTCAATCCAAGATGAAGTAAAGAGAAAGATGTGTTCTGAGGTGAAAAGCTCTGAAAAACGAATCAGAATGAATCCATAATTTCCCTAAGCTCGATCCTTTACTTCCCAATTCGAAAATCCAAGAAATCCGCGGCTGTTACGAAAATAGGGGTTAGCGGCGCTATGGGGATAGCGCCGCTATGGTTGGAAATCTTGAGCTGCAGCCCATCGCTATGCTACGAACCGTCGCTAGTCAAGTTGGGCTTAGCGGCGCTATGGCCATAGCGCCGCTATGGTCTGGCTGCTCTAATAAAAATCTATGTCTCGGGCCACGTGCTCTCGGCTAGCGTCCCTCGGGTCTATCTCGAGCTAGAAACTTAATCCACGAATGCTCCAGTCTCACAAACTAACGCAGAACACCTGGGAACCTGAAAACACCACCATCGAACACACACAAAAGCAAGAGAAAATAGAAGAAATAACAACGAAAATTCTAAACACAACGAAAAATACTAAAAACTCGAGAATGACTAAAAAGGACCGGAAAATTCTAACAAAAGACCTAAAACGGGGGAAAACAACACGCAAAATAGCAACAAAAACTGGACAAACAGTTACGTCTACCAGCAGTAGTCTATTGATATAGGTGTGCACATGAGTCTTGATTGATGATATATATGATGGAATATTGGGATAAATGATTAATTCGAATACATCCTGCGACCATACTTGTATTATATTGTGATTATTGTTTATTGTATTGTGGTGAGCACTACATTATCATTTGTGCTCACTTTCACCTGCTCTTCATGGATGCAGGTTAAGCAGTTGGCGGGTGGCGAAGCAAGACGAGTGGGTGGTCTTTATTTGTTGCATTAGCTTCCACTTTTATGAACTTATGATTTATGAGACATGTTGAACAATTTTTTAAACTTATGTTTTGAATTGTGGAATTGAGTAAGCTGAATATCTTGTTTCTTTTGAGTAAGCTGAATGTCATGTGAAATGTCGTGATTTGTTTAATAAAAACCATATGTGAAAGTCGGGTTTATGAATCCCCGTGGGTCCAAATAAGACTTGGACTGAGTAAATGTTTTGATAATGCCCTTGATTTCGAAAGTGAATTCGAAAAATGTTGTTCTGATTTTAGAAAGCCCGGATTTTTTTAAAATCAAAGTGGGGTACTACACTTTTGTCGAACACGAACAAGCTCGAACGAGCTTTTGTTCGCGAACGTTCGGTTCATTTACAACTCTATTCATCACCACCACCGCGAGTTAACACCATCGGTGCGAGCTAGACAATTCATTTATAATATTTTCAACACATCCATTCAAGTATTGTGCAAGTTAAAAATTTATATTTTTGAAATCAATATATTTCAAATCCCTCAATTCAAACGTAGCCTTAACATGTCTTGAGTGATAATTTTAGAAAGAGGAGAGAGAAAATGACAAATCTTGTTTGGTT